AAGAAATTTGCAACGGTAAATTTCAACATCATCCACAATATGTCAAAGTTGTGCCATCGAATATTTTTAATTGTTGTGTTTCTCAACATTTGCTGCCACTGCAAATTTGCCAACCTTGCCAACCATTGACAATTGCATGCATCAATTGTTGAAGTCAATAATGGGGTTGGACCCCACAAATCTCCCCTCCAGTCTCATTCACTGGAAGGAGGTATCTTCATCTTCTTTAAAGAGAGCTCATACCCACAAGTTCTTTGCATAACTCGAACTTGTCTTTCGGTATCGTCTTGGTCAGCATATCTGCAGGATTTTCACTTGTGTGGATCTTTTTGACGTGAAATGATTCACTCTCCACTTTCTCACGAATCCAATGATATTTGACGTTGATGTGTTTTGTTCTTGCATGGTACATGGAGTTCTTGCTCAAGTCTATTGTACTCTGGCTGTCACAATAGACAATATACTCCATCTGATGTAAACCAAGCTCTTGAAGAAATCTCTTGAGTCATATCATCTCCTTGCCGGCTTCAGTAGCCGCAATATACTCAGCTTCAGTTATAGATAGTGCAACACACTTCTGCAACTTTGACTGCCATGATATAACTCTTCCTGGAAAAGTAAACAAATATGCAGTAGTGGATTTCCTGTTATCAAGGTCACATGTCATATCAACATTTGTATAGCCCTTCAAGATTGGATCTGATGCTCCAAAACACAAGCATTCATCTGAGCTTCCTCTAAGATGCCTGAGTATCCACTTCACAGCTTCCCAATGCTCTTTTCTCGAATTGTCGAGAAATCTGCTGACAACACCAATTGCGTGAGCAATATCAGGCCTAGTACATACCATTGCATACATTAGTCTTTCGACGACGGAGGAATATGGAACTTTGGACATGCTCTCTTTTTCCTCCCTAGCTGTAGGACACATATTTTTGCTCAACTTCATATGACCAGCAAGATGTGTACTAATAGGCTTAACATTCTTCATATTGAAGCGCTCTAGTACACGTTCAATGTACTTTTTCTGTGACAAGTAAATCTTCTTTTCATCTTTGAGACGAGTAATTCTCGTGCCCAAAATTTTCTTGGAATGACCCAAGTCTTTCATAACTAAAGACTTACACAACTCTTTCTTCAACTCGTCAATCTTGGAAGTATTTTTTCCCACAATCAACATATCATCCACATACAGCAAAATGATGATATAATCATTGTCAGAAAACTTTTGTACAAATACACAATGATCTGATGAAGTCTTGTTATAGCCTTGCTCCCCCATAACAGATTCAAACTTTTTGTACCACTGTCTAGGAGCTTGCTTTAGTCCATAGAGACTATTTCCGAGTTTGCACACAAAATTTTCTTTTCCATCTACTTTGAAGCCCTCAGGTTGTTCTATATAAATCTCTTCTTCTAATCACCGTGAAGGAAAGTCCTCTTCACATCCATCTGATCAATCTCTAAATTAAGATTAATAACTAAACCTAGAACTGTACGAATCGAGGACATTTTCATAACATGAGAAAATATTTCGTCAAAGTCTATACCCTTCATTTGATCAAATCCCTTAACAACCAATTTAGCTTTGTACCTGGGCTTCAAGTTGTGCTTTTCAACTTTTAGCTTTGAACACTCACTTGTTCTTCAAAGCTGTCATGCCTTTGGGCAATTTTACCAACTAATAAGTGTATTTCTCATGCAGAGACTTCATCTTATCTTGAATGACTTCAATCCATTGATCTTTGTGCTCATCTTCCATGGTCTCCTCATAACATTCAGGTTCTCCCCCGTCAGTGAGTAACACATACTCATTGGGTGAATAATGGGAGGAAAGAGCTCGTTGTCTTGTGGACCTCCTAAGCAAAATATTTGATTCGTCCACAACTTCATGAGCATGAGGATCATCAATAACAATATCATTGTTATTATCAACATCAACATGTTGATTCGTTACATGATTATGGGCGTCACCATGATCATAAGCCCAACAACAACATGCATACTTGTGTGAGGAACTTCATCTAGATGATCTATGCCATCAAAACTTGAAGATTCTATCTTCTCTGCTTTGTCAATATCTTTAATTGTTTGATTCTCCATGAAAATAATATCACGGCTTCTCACGAGTTTCCTTCTCAATTGGATCATATAGCCTGTAACAAAATTCATCAAGGCCATATCCAATGAAGATGCATTGCCTTGTCTTGGCATCTAACTTTGACCTCCCATCTTTCGGCACATGTACAAAATCTTTGCAACCAAATATTTTTAAATGGTCATAGGAACATCGTTTCATACCAAACACTATTTGGCACATCACTTTGCAAAGCAACAGAAGGAGATAGATTAATAACATGTGCAACAGTCAATAAAACCTCACCTCAAAATGAGTTCGTCAACTTTGCTTCAGAAAGCAAACATCTAACTCTTTCCATCAAGGTCCTGTTCATCCTCTCAATCAAACCATTAAGCTGAGGAGTCTTAGGAGGAGTCTTCTCGTGTCTAATACCTTGATGCTTGCAGTATTCGTCAAATGGTCCACAGTATTCTCCACCATTTTCAGTACGAATACATTTCAGTTTCTTTCCAGTTTCTTTTTCAATTGAAGCCTGAAACTGCTTGAATACACCTAACACTTGGTCTATAGTCTTCAAGACATAGATCCAAAGTTTTCTCGAGCAGTTGTCAATAAAAGTGACAAAGTAGAGTGCATCACCCAATGTCCTTGTCTTCATTGGACCACATAAATCAGAGTGCACCAATTCAAGCAACTTTGTCTTTCTTGAATTGGTGCTCACACTTTTCTAATTTAGCACTTTTGAAATTTGACAATAATTTCTTCTTGGCTAGAACATTAAGTCTTTTTTCGGTGATGTGGCTAAGCCTCTTGTGCCATAACATTGAAAAGCCATCGTTCTCAACCGCATTCACCATATCAATACAAGTAGAAGTCGTAGTCCAGTATAGACCACGACGTTTGTTACCACGAGCCACAACCAAGAAACCCTTAATGAGTTTCTATTTTCCATCACCGTTGGTACTAACATATTCTTCATCATCCAAAACACCAACATAAATTAGGTGCAAACGAACATCAGGTGCATGTTTCACATTGTTCAAAACTAGTTTAGTTCCAACACTAGTTTCCAAACAAATTGTACCAATACCAACCACCTTAGAAACAATCTCATTACCCATACTCAAATTTCCAAAATCACAAAGAGTATAGGAAGAGAAAAAAATCCTTCCTTGTTGTCACGTGAGATGCGACACCAGTGTCCAAAACTCAGTTTGACTCATCACAAGCAATATTTATCATATCCGCATCAAGGACGGTAACAAGATCTTCGGTAGTGATGGTGGCTAGGAATTTTTCATTGCCATCTTCTTTAGTTTCCTTTTTATTTTTGTTCTCCCTCTTCAACTTCTTGCAAAACTTCTTTGTGTGCTCTTTCATGCCACAATGAGAGCACTCAATATCCTTAAGTCTGCCTCTGGATTTGCTGCTATTTTGTTCTCTATTCTAAGAACCATGAGTTTTGTTTCTCCCCTGGAGGCAGTTATCAGGACATCCGACGAAGAAAAACCTTGAATTTTTCTTCTCATCTCTTCGTTCAAGACACTACTCTTGGCAGAATCCATAGAGATCACACCATCCGAAGCTGAATTTGACAATGAAGTTCTAAATATTTCCCAAGAGTCTGGAAGGGAACCAAGTAGAAGCAAGCCTTGAATTTCTTCATCAAATTTAATGTCCATAGCAAATAATTGGTTCATGATCCCCTGAAAATTATTCAGATGGTCTGTCATCGGAGAACTATCATAATACTTTAAACTCAACATCTCCTTTATTAAGAGCATTTTATTGTTGCCAATTTTGTGAGCATACAAACTTTCAAGATGCTCCCATAAGGTTCGAGCATGTGTCTCCCCAGAAATATGGTTCAACACATTATCACCAACTCATTGCCTAATGAATCCACAAACCTGCTTATGCAATGGATTTCACTCTTCATCTATTTTATTATCAGGCTTTACAGTGGTAAAAATTGGTTTGTAAAAATTCTGACATAAAACAGATCTTCAATTTTTCCCTTCCAATTGACATAATTAACACCATTCAAAGTAACCATTCTACTTGTGTTGGCTTTCGTCGTTTTCCCTCAAAAAAATAGTTATTACAAATCAAAGTAAATCTTTTTTAATGTGGAAGTTCAGACTGTGTTGCAACCACATAGCATACTCAGATAAAACCTTGGCTCTGATACCAGTTTGTTGGGAAAATGCGGACTAACACAAAAATATATATGGTCAAAATAATAAAAATAAAATGGGAAAATAATGACACAAAGAATTTTACGTGAAAACCCTTTTAAATATGGGAAAAACCACGGGCAAGAGGAGTAACTTATATCACTATAGTAATGAATTTTACACTGTGTAATCACGAATATAATACTCAAGTGACTACTACACACTCAATAGGAATAACACTCTTTTGATTTCCACCTTACTAAAATACCTCTCACACTCTATTTTTATTCACAAACTATTTTTCTTATATAATCTATGGAATACCTCACTTTGCTCTCAATATTTTTTCCCTCTAACTTGGTGTATTTTACAAAGGAGCTAATGAGCTCCTTTTATAGAAGAAATTTGTAACTACAAATTTCAACATCATCCACAATATATCAAAGTTGTGCCACCAAATTATTTTAATTGTTGTGTTTCACAATATTTGATACGACTGCAAATTTGCCAACTTTGCCAACCATTGACAATTGTATGCAACAATTGTTGAAGTCAATAATGGGGATGGACCCCACAGTGTTATTGATGTGGTGGTATGAGAGACGACTTTGGTACAATTTAAGTTGAATATTCACAAGTGTTGAAATCGTTAAATGCTAATTTGATCGCATATTAATATTTATTTGATTTTAATCATTGAAATGGTTATGTCGGAGTAAAATGACTTATTTTGTAGGTAAATTATGAATTATGATAGTTTCAAAAGGAAGTGGTGGAAGAGGGAGCCAAAGGAGGAGGCTCAGTACAGTGAGTTTCTTCTAACTTTTTGATATCAAAATTCATTAATTTCCATATGTTGTTTGTTGTAAATTATATACGCAGGTTCTGATGTTGTAAGAGAATCAATAAAGTTGAGTCCAACAGAACAAGAGTTTTATATGAATCCTCGAAATAATCATTTAGATGTTTACACAAAGAGGACAACTTTAAAAGTTTTCACATTTGTCGTCAATCTTAAATCATACTTGGATATTTATTCTTGATAGTTTTATTTCTTCTCATATTTGTTGCTTGCTCCCTTCTATATTTGTTTCTTTATTGCTTTTGGAGATTTAATTTTTTTCACTTCTATTTGTTTTTAGTTCTAACTTTTGTTAGCATTTTACCTATTGTTGTTATTTTTATGTTCATTGCAGGGGAAAAGGAGATATATATTTCAATGTTTTTACCTATCGTTGTTATTTTTATGTTTATTGCAGGAGAAAATGAGATATGTCAATATTTCAATATTTTTGTCTATTGTTGTTATTTTTATGTTCATTGCAGGAGAAAAGAAGATATTTCAATGTTCTGGGACTATTATAGAAAGTGTGGATAGTTAATTCTATAGCAGTTGGTGATTTCTTTTCATCCCATTCTCAAATTTATCTAATAATTTCTTTAACCAAATTAGTATTTGTTAATCTCTTGATTATTGGTGATCCTCTTTATGTCATTTCTAGCCAAATTCTTGTTAGATTATTTGATAATTATAACTATTTATTTAGGTTATCGTGCACCTATTTGATGAAAGATCATTTGATGGTCAAATTGAGTCATATGACCTCCACTACAATGTTGTTGCCATAAAGATTCAATCAAACACACCACTTTCAATTGCATCCCTTGCTCATTTAAGTGATTCTATCATGATTGATCCGAGTCAGCTCCGGAGTACTGAGGAGAAGTCATTTCAATTTCGTCCACATTCAAAATCATTTGATCATATTTTCGGAGACATAGTTATTGCACTTGGACGTTTTTATGCTAAGCCATATGATATCACGACTGCTCCTGGTGAATTCTGGTTGGTGTTTTCACTTGACTTTTACTTTGTTACAAACATACCTAATTTTCATGTTTGTTATTGAGACTTCTCTCTCAAATTGTTATGATTGATCTGTGTAGCATTGATCGTTGTGACGATGACTTAGAGTGTAAAGAGCCTTTCAAGGCGACTTGCAAAATTATGAGAGTAACTCTCTTTCACACTTTTTTAAAGAAAATTTCTCTCACATTTATCTCTTACTTTGGCAGTCAGTAATACATAAATTAATTTAAATAGTATTTGAATATTTGAAATTCAGATATAATACATTTTTAAAATCGTGAATAGGAGAAAAAATAAACATAACAATTGTAATACATTTTATATTCAATTTATTATATGGGGTAAAAGAGAGTCCAAAGCTAAAAGGGCAAAAAAAATTGCCAAAAATTCCAAAAGGGTAAATCAATTTTTTTTTAACCCAAAGGGCAAAATTGCTTCTATCGAAGCGATTTCCTTCTGACAAATATTGACACCGTTACTTCATTAAAAAAAATAAAAATCGCTGCCACTACAACGTTTTTCTCAAAAAAAAAACTAAAATCGCTGCTATAACAACGTTTTTATCAAAAAAAATTTCAAATTAAAATCGTTGCCAAAGCGATTTTTTTTTTTTTTTAAAATTCTTTCAAAACCTTTGGAACATTGTTTTCCATCTCCATTTTTTAAAGATTTTTTTTTAAAAAAAAATCGCTGGTTTCTTTTTTTAAAAAACCTTTGGAACATTGTTTTCCATCTACATTTTTAAAGAAAAAAAAAGGTTTTTAAGAAAATCGCTAATTTTTCTAAAAATAAAATCGATGTCGGGGTAGCGATTTTTAATTTTTTTTAAAACAAAAATTCTTAAAGAAAGGCACTGCTAATTTTAATTTTAAAATTATTATTATTTTTTTATATACAAACGCTGGTATAGCAGCGATTTTTGTTCTTTTTTTCAAAAAAAAAATTTCGAGAAAAACGTTGTTGTGGCAGCGATGTTAATGAAAAAAAGAAATAAAAAATTGGACTAAATCGCTGCTAGGGTAGCGATTTTTATTTTTTAAGGAGTAACAACGTCAATATTTGTCAGAAGAAAATCACTTCGCCAGGAGAGATTTTGGTCTTTTGGTTATAAAAAAATTTGATGTGCTCTTTTTAAATTTTTGACAATATTTTTTGCCTTTTTGACTCCGGACTCGGATAAAAGGACTCAAAAAAGGAGGAAGCTAAGGAAGAAGGTAATGAAATTGAAAATACAGACTGAAGCAGAGAAGAGACAAAATAATCCCATCCTTAAATAAGTTATCATGTATTTTTTTCAAACAAATGTGGAATAAACTTATGCTAAAATTTTAAAAAAAAACCGCAAGGCACTGACAATCATGCGCCTTGTAAGGCGCGGCTGAGCCTTACGAGGCTCACGACGAATGTCCCTTGCAAGGCGCATGGAATTTCGCATCTTGCAACGACTAACCTAATTTAGACGATGTCAAAAAAATAGTTAGAAAGTTGCCCTTTTGGAATTTTCAGAAAATTTTCTTACCCTTTCTGCTCCGGACTCCTTTTAAAAGAGTGTACCACGTCAATACTGGACAAGTAAAAATACACCAAGAAAATATTTATATTCTTAAGACTCGTTTGGTACAAGGAATAAAGAATAATTAATCCTAATTTTAAGATAAACTTATCTCATATATACTTAAAATAAAATCACAAAATAACTTATCTCAAAATAAGTTGTTTCTTACGAATCAAGTTATGCCAGATAATGGTGTGTGGAAAAACAATGTGCTATTTGAATTTACCATTACCTCATATTAGACGTCACATCGATGTATGGCTTAGTTTTCATCGACATTAATTCTATTAGATATTATCACACCAAATATATGTTGATAATTGTTTTCTTATTAACTACCTCCTTGGTCCGACAAATAGCAACAAGGCGAGTTCTAACATTGTGCACCGTTAAAAAGACTTCTAGACGAAAGAATTATCAATGCATGCAAAACACTATTCGGGAATTACTTAGTTACTATTTATACTTCGTTAATCGCTCATTGTTCCCACAATCCTAGTTGTGGATTTAGTTACCCATATTAGTAAGAACACAATTCATATTTTTAGAAGAAGAAATCATGAACTTACGTAGTGAGAATGATAAACGCAGAATTTCAACTTGAATTTCCAAACCAAAATCTTCAAAACAAGCTTAGGAAATTAAGAATTGCTAAAGTTGCAATTTAATCTCCAAAGCCAAAAAAACTAGGACAAAAGTAATAAAGTCTAACCTCCAAAATCGAGGTTTACATGCCCTATATATAGAAAATTAAGTCCTAAAAAGAAAAAAATGTTTCAGGACGCGGTTTCAATCGACGATACTGACCTACGGACCATGGATTGATCTACCATCCATGGATCCTCCTCCGTAGCTCCATACTTAGAATCTTCAGAATCAGGTACTGGAACCCCTCTTTGAATCATTTGATGAATCAACAGTACGGTCCGTAGACTAATCTATGGTCCGTTGATTGCAACCGTGGTTCCACACTTGGTCAAGAATTCCCTAATTTTCCTTCAAGCCTTGCCTGCCCATCTACGACACCCATCTACGGAGTGTGAATGGACCTACGGTCCGTGGATCACCTCCGTAGATCCCCTTTTCTGCACATCCTTCAGCTGCGTCTCTCAATTTCCATGTCTGAACATATTTCTTGCAAATATGAGAAAAATACATAAAAACCAATACAAAATGGCCCTAGACACACACAACTCTTAAGTGAAATGTATTAAAAATATCGTAAACTCATGGTATATCAACACCCTCAACTTAAATTCGTTGTTTGTCCTCAAGTGACACACTAAAACTCTAAACGACACTTTGTATAGAAGCAAACATTTCAAGCACAAGCAATCACATGGCTCTCTACCCCGACTCTCTTCTCGACTGCAAATCTTTTCTCTCAGACTCAACAAGCTAACTTGTAAGGATCCAAACATGACAAAGACTGACCAACCGACACACAACATACATTGTTTTACTATCACCAAGGTACCAACTTTCCGACAATGTAACTAGTGCCCTTACTTAAAACGAAATCCCTTTTTCACACAATAAATTTGATTTTGAGTACAAGGATTTATTCAACACTCAAACTCAGAAGTAACTTCAAGTACAGTTAGTGCTCAATACCATAGGCTTACCCCTATTTTCAGTGCTTAGACTCTCCAAACTAGGTTCTAGGACCACTATAGGACTTTCTTGGCTTGTAACATAGGCTCAGGGTCAGATGTGGTACATTTGGGTACGTTTTAGTGACTTTCTACCCTCCTTGACATTACATTAGGCTTTCTACCTTTTTTTTGCCATATTCTTGACATCCTACAGTTTTATCTTTTTTCCCTTGATTCTCTTCAACCATGGATGTGACTTTAGACTTTGTAGCTCTTTATTTTTCACTTTCATCTTTTTCTTGCGTTTTATTCTTTTCTTTAGCTTTCAACAAGCCACATCCTTGCCTTTCTTTTTTCTCTTTTTCAACATCAAACTCTTTTCATACCCATTTTTCTTTTGGTTTTCTCTTTCATAGCCACCCTCAACTTATGGATTTTCCATTGGTTGAGGTGCACAATACCTGATGTCGGATCAGGGCCAAGATTGAGGTTACTTTTACATTAGCCACCCTCAACTCAGTCTTTTGGCCTAAGTCAAGGTGCACATGTCCAAAGAGGGACCGGGGCCAACATAGTAGATTATGGGAAGGTGAGTTAGGGGTTTAGAAATAAATTTTCTAATTTAGGCTCAAAGCATTTTGATCAAAGGGAGCATTTATTTCATTTGGCTGGATTTTTCTTTTAGGCAATATCGCGCCCTATCTTTCGCAAAACGGGTTTTGGTGCACGACCTAAATAGATAATTTAATTATGATTAATTAAATTATCTATTTTATTAATTAAGCATGCAAGACTAGGTGATGTAATAAACGGAAAATAAATATTTAAATAATTAATAAAAGAGGAGCGAGGAGACAGAAATTGCACAATCAAATAGAATAAACAAATTTTTATATCATTATTTAAGCTACCCCAAACAAATATAATAATAAACAAATAAAGGGACAAAGGAAAGGGAGACTCTGAAGGACTTTAGGATCAACACTCGACTTTATTATTTGATAGGCTTCCATGTAAGGACTGACAAAATCAAGGTTTGTCGCTTTAAGCCTGAGTCAATGTCATCATCTCCATAGGGCCTAAACTACCCCTACCCCACCACCGCATGCTTTCATCTCTACAAAGGTGTCTATCGTCCCCGCTTAAGGTCCAAGAGGCATTGGACTACTGTTAGGAAGAGTTTAGACAAAGATAAAATATAGCAGACTCACCTAGACACCAAGTCAAACAATTTGGACAAACATTTATCACATAAGGTGTCATATTGGCCTCTAGATTTTAATTAACATGCTAACAAACACAAAAGGGGTGAAAATGTCGCATGTTAAGTGTATGCAAACAAGCATAGCAATACATATAAACGGGCGGCGAGCAATACAACAATATAACAATTAATTAATGAAAGGGCAAGTAATTATGACATAATGCATATTTTGTTTACTTTTTATTAATAAAGCATGCATGAATTATTTATTAGTTGATTAAAGGTGGCGAAACAATTACTCATAATGCAAAAACTAAAATATTTCGGGCAGAATTAATTAGGACAACAAATTTAAAAATAGCAGATTATGCAGAAAATAGATTATTTATGCGGTAGCAAATTAGACTATTATGCGAGATTTATTTTAAGTAGCAATAAGTTTAATAGATACGGAAATTTAATCAGTAGCTGATTTTAATCGGGACAAACGCGTAGTAAATGCAGAAAACAGTAGCAGATTCAATATTGATGCCGAAATTATTTTTAAAAAAGCAGCCAGCTTAGTAGATGCAACAATTAATTATTAATGCAGAATATTTATTTTAAGCATATTTGAATTAGGGCAGTATTTTAAAATAGCAGATTCATGCAGAAATAATTGATTAATTTTCTCTTTAAGTAAGATGTCATGGAATAGTGGCAGAAAAATGCATAAAAGATTATTTCAGTTTTTTTTTACATGTTGGAAATTATTTGATAACGCCTGTGAATATGACTTCTATGATTTCTAACCCAGGTTCAAATTATATTAATTGGAATCCTATAGGCATGAATTCTATTATATGACAAGATTATCAAAACACTGAAATTATTATCAGATTAATTAATACATCAAACTTAATTATTGAATCCTATAGGCGTGGTTTCTAAGTGATGAAACATGCTAAAAGTTATTAACACATAAGGAATTATTAACATCTAACAAATTTATTAACACCGAGAATATTAGAATCTAAATTTAACATACAAAAGTTATTATTGTCTGATTATTTAACACTAACAAACATACATAAAACTACTAAAATGATTAGTAGAGCATGCTAAAAATATAACAAATTATAGGCATAGATCTCTACACATAATAGCATGAAAATTATCCCGTAAGCACATTTCCTGATTTTAGCATGGAGGCAAAATCTTAATTTTTTTTTTTTACAGATTGACTTATTTCAGATTAAGCACAAAACAAAAATTACAATTTCACAAAGGCTTGATTTTAGGTCGGTTGTTATAACACATTTAGCCAGTTTTTATGGCTAAGCAAATATAAACATATTTTTTATAACAATCACACGTTTTAAAAAAAAATTAAAAAATATAAAGAAAACAGTTAGCACGTATATCCCCTTCCCCCTTAGACGATCCCCAAGTTATTTTATATATATAGAGAGAGTTAGAGTTTATAAATTATTACAGAACGATGATAAAAATTAAAATAATAAAAAATAGTAAATTATGAAATCAGCCTGTATATTGTTTCTCTATTATGACGACTTTTCATATCTTGAGCTTCTAGTTCAACCCTGCTAAACCAAAAGAAAGGAATACTACAAATACATATAGATATAACAAAAGCAAATAGTATATATAAGATCGATTATATAGACAGAATCATGAAGCAAACACATAGTCATATCAAAACACACAATGAAAGGAGGTGGGATATAAAACGGACATGGGTGCTTCCTTTGCTTTATTCAAACATACAACAAGATGCATAATGCAAAACAAAATTTAAACTAAGGCAAACACTAACCAGTTATGCAGAATTAATTATCAACAATGAAGATAAGCTTAATCCACTATTCGACCCGAACACAGCAAAACAACAGCACAAAGAGGAACTTTAATTTAAATCGGAAAACTTAATTCCCTTCTTTTTCGGAGTGGACAACAATATATTTTAGTATTTTTTGCATATGAGTAAATTCGGATGTGAGAGTGTGTTCAACCGTCCTCAACTATGACAAATAGGCCTTGATTATATACTAGGTGAGAGGGCATAGCACTAAAGGAAAAGAATAATTTTAGGAATCAATTATGATATTATTATTCTTTATTCAAAGGAAGAGCCAAATCACATTTATTTATTTTTTACCAATTATAAACAAGTAAGAAAATATTCACCTTTTCAAATAAGGTAAGAAGATATTAATTAACAACACTAATCAATTAATCAATCAAGGCATTATATCAAAGAGATAAGCAAGGAATTTGTCCGAAATTTAGCAAGGAAAGAAAACTAATGAAGATACGGAGTATATAATAGTTGACTTAATTGATTATCAAGACAAGGAAAATACTAAACAAATTGGACACCACTACAGGAAAAGAGATCATGATTGACATATTCCAAATTAACTTAGCACGAGAAAATCAATCAATTACCATAAATACATAAGCAAGCCAGTAAAGTCATTCATCATAAAAGACTAATATTGGGATAAAATATATCAACAATTGAGATCAATTAAAGGGAGAGGACTTGTGATAATCAATCAGCCAGTGCATTACATGATTTTAAAGTTGTTTTGAGATATTTAGAAATAATTTGAGATAGAGGGTAGTCAACCATAAGCATACTGTTAGAGCCAAAATTTCATCTTAGAATTTAGTCATAAAAATTAGTTTGAAGTTTAAGACAATGCATCAAATATATTCCAATTTGGCGATTAAGACTAATAATATGAACATGGACAACAAAATAACATATCTACAGTACACATTTTGCTTGTTTGCAATCTGCAGAACAGTAAATGAAAGTGACGAAGGTGAGTAAAACAAGTGTACAATATGAGTTCTTGAGGGCATACGAGATCAAACATCAATGAGATAACGGGGAAGTAATGAACAATGAAGGGAAATCAAGGTCAAATCGAACATGCCAAGCTCAGGTTCTCAAAATAATCATCTCACAATAGCCAAAGATAAAAACAATAAAAATGACAAGCTTAGAAATTAGCTTAAAACTTACTTGGACAGATCTGTAAGGATCTGTCTTTAATGAACTCGACCTCCGATGCTACTGTGGGCCGGAGTTGTTGCTGATATCGTAGTCGGAGGAGCAGAGAGAAAGAGGCGAAGGGGAGGAGAAAAGAAAGGCGGAGGTGTTGCCACCTCTGGTCCCTGTCGGCTGCTGGTTCTGTGGAGTTGATGGCTTCGCCTGGCTGCTTGGAGCAGTCGCTACTGCTGTCATGCACCTCGCCAGGCGTTGCTGTCGCTGGTCGGAGCACTGCTCCGATTGCTGCTGCCCGGAGAAAAAAAAGAGACGGGGCGAGGGAGAAGAGGAGAGAGAGGAAGAGAAGGCGGACAGGAGAGGAGGAGAAGGTGAAGAGGAGAGGAGATCGGCCTCTGGTTCTCGTCGGAGACTTGCCATCGTCGGTGGAGTTGAAGGGAAAGGCGGCTGATCTGTTGAAAGGAAAGGAATGAAGAAAGTTTAGGGTTTTGGTTCTTTTAGTTGAAATAGGAAAGAAGGGTTTAATAAATCTGGACCATTAGATTATTTTAGATGAGTGGCTAGGATTTGATCTAGAATTTAACTTAAACGATGGACGGTCAGGATTAAAAGCTGAAAATTAAAATCAGATTGAATTGAGGAGTTGGAATGGCTAGAATTGCAATAAAATTGGCTAGAATTGAAATGAAAGGGTGTTTATTATTGAAATAAAATTTGGATTGAATTGGCTAAAATTGAAAGGAATTAGAATAAAATAAGCTACAATTTAAATGATTTTGAGGAAAATTAAAGAAATGTTATCCAATTGAAATACTACAAAATACTATTAAAATTATTTAAATTTTAAAACATTTGAATTATTTCGAGTTTTACTAATAATAAAAAAACTATTTTAATAGTATTTACAATAACTTTTATAAAGCATGCATACAAAATATATAAGTTTTTAGACAAAATCAATTAAAATTTTAATCTCGACATATTAAAAAAATATGTATTTAATCGAATAGTATTTCCCAAAAAGGGTTATAGGTCGGTCAAAATTGGGTGTCAACAGGCAATTTGTGGACTTATCAGAACAAGGGCCTATGATCACTTCCTAGCCTCTAGAGTAGATTGTCTTAGCAGGACTAAACGGGCAAGTTCTAGATTGACACAAAAACTATTTGAACAATCAACTATTCTCACACACTTTTGGCATATCGTTTCATCATCAGATTATCAAATTACCCAGTTCAAGGTTTAGCTTAAGTCATGCCATCAAGTTGGTTCATTATCATGTCATACTCAGAGCTAACACATTCAACTTATTCTAGCCTACAAATTTTAGCACATATCACAAAAGTTTTTGGACAAGTATCATTTCTTTCAAAAAGTTTCATATTTTTGCCATCATGCTTCATTCTTTCTCATGCTTCTACACATACAATCCTAACACATGTCGGTAATTAAGCAGTCTCTTGGGGGAAAAAAACACAGGCAAGAAAACCCCAAGGGAGGATTATGAGTTAGGTTACTCAGACTTCACCCTATCACTCACAATCCATTTACCCCACCCCCAACGAAAAATAGGTGCAATTGTCCCCAATACACACAAAAAAATAGTAAAAAGTAATGGATTTGGGTGAAGCAAACCTGTATTACATAGCTCCGACAAACGATCAACAAGTGGGTGGGTCCGGTTTCCCAGAGCTCGCTACATCAATATTGGGGCCACCCTCAGTAGTGCCCATTTCAACAATCACATCACACTCAGTAATGCTACCAATCAGTCTAACTGCACCATCAGTGGTGCTCACATCATGACCCACAGTATTCAGAACATCCGAAATGGGCATAGAACTTGAACCCTAGCCAATGGTACAACAACAGCTCCTAAAGGCTGGGTGGATCTGGACGAGCTAGGAGCCCGACTCGCGGCCTGAGATGAGGAGTTCGAGACATCATCAGTGTGGGCTGGAGGGCAGGATCATCACCCTGCATTTGCTCCACAACATCTACTAAATCAGCTCTCATAAGCAACACATCAACCTGCGGCTCTCTGCGTGGTGCCGCCACATTTGCCTCATCCCGAATGAGGCCTATATCTAGTGTCCCCGTGGGCCGGATCAACTTGTCACAATGCCAGATCGGCACTCCAGAGTCCCTACATAACTGGAAAATTAGACAAGGAAAAGGATAAGTGATGGAGGCTTTGAAAGCCCTCTCATGTATCTCCGTAATGAGCATACATGCAAAATCGATCTCGAATCCCGCAACCAATGCTGCTACCATGACCGTGCGGTCCCAAGTTAGTGCGTTGTCAACATTCTTGGGGGAAATTCAATTGCGAACCAACAACCAGAAAAATTTAGCCACAAATGTGAGAGCGGCCTTCTTGATGCTCATGCCCGGAGTGGTGACCCACTCGACTCGCTCTCCGTCAGTAGCAATTTGACTAGCCATCCAGTGTAATAAAGTCTCTCTTTTCTCGGCGCTTCGCTGGAACTCTCCACCCCATACAGTGTTCCATTTGTAGTCAAATTTGGCCGTATTGAGTGCCCAAGAGTGATCAGGGCTAGGACCATAGAGGAACCGACGAATGGTGGTCTCAAAGATTTCTACAGAAAATCCGCGCACTAGTGTAGCTATGAGGGGTGCCTGGGCAGTGGGTCTACCATTCTTATGGATAGAGCCCCAAAGAGTAGCCGCATAAGAAGCATTGAACTCCTTCACAATCTCCTCACTGTAGGTGCTTGGTTCTCGAGCCATCCACTCATACTTGTGACGTTAAAAGAGCCGGTGGATTTCTGGTATGGTGTGTAGGCTCCCAGTGAGGACTCTACGTTCCTCTGTAATAAGTCGGGCCATCTTCTCTTTGTAATTTTTCATCTTGGCATCCCGATAAATTTGACATTGGCCCTCAACACACCATTTGTTTGACTCCCCAGCCACCGGATCTAGGTCGTAGCTTCGTGGCACAGGGACTTCTCCCGAACTAGTGGCCTTATCAGACGAATCAGCTTTGTCATGTGAACCTGAGCCTATGGCGGATCCAGAACCGAAGCCGGAAGCATGGGCGAGCTTAGAGCCGGAAGCAAAGGCGGACTCTGAGCCGGAAGTAGAACTAGCCTCAGAACTGGAAGCAGAACCAACCGGTGACCTGATTAGTGTGTTCTCCTTATCAGAATGAGAGTCAATGATTACGTCGGTGACCACCTGCTAGGATGTATTCTGGATAGCCCGAGGTGCAATATGGGATGTCCTCGTGGCCGGTGGAACATATGTTGGATCCTTTTCTGCGTCCATGTCTTCATCAATCACTCTAAAAGTAGGCACCACAGATTTTGATTTGCCCCTTTTGGAGTAGGTCACTTGCTTCTTAGGCGCCATGGTAACTGTGGATGTCTAATTAGTACCAAAATAAACTCATAACACACTCAAAAAGATTTTAGAACTAAGAACGAACAAAAATGAAAAACAGAAAAAAATTCAGACAGTGTCTTCAGTGGCCACCTACTGTGGGAATCTACGGTCCGTAGGCTGACCTATGGTCCGTGGATCCCCTCCGTAGATTAGATGTACCAAAAAGTTGGTCTCTGATGGGAACCACGGATGTGCAGAACGGTTCGTCGATTGATTTACTGATCGTAGTCCACTTCCGTGATTCCATACTTAGTGAAATTCTCATGTGCCACCAACCATGGACTTGATCTACGGTCCATAGATTGACCTACGGACCGTAGACGAGGTTTCATGGATGGGATGTGTACCAGGTCTCAGACATGCTTCATTGGAAGCCCACATTTTTGCCATATTCAACAATATCCTAGTCTAATCATGTATTTCAATATAAATTATGCTAGTTCGTCATTCTATGGGTTCTAATTACTCAATTTTACAGGTATTTTCTGCAAGATAAGGAACGCTGAGTGGAAACTTACATTTAGACTTATATTTCATTGTTTTTTTACATACAACAAGGTAACACAATCACAATCTATCGTCCCAAGGGTGCATTCACTTCTAATTTAGCATACAATTTCATATATTAATTTGCCCAAGGTCAAGACCCAATTCTGGACTTTCTATAATCAATCGATAAATCAAAATTCAAAGTTAGGGGAAAGTCGATTACCTTACAAGTAGCGGGAGTGGGGTGATTGTGTGATGACTCGACGCTTTCGAAACCACAACTTTGCCTTTACGCACCAAACCCGTACACCGGACCTCGTGGGGAGTTTTGGGGATGAGTGGAGTTTGGAGAGGAAAGGAAATTTAGGATTGTGGGGAAAAGAAAAGGAAGATTAATTGGGGAGTTATGGAGTGATTTAAGGGATTGGGAAGTTTAGAAACGGTTTGGGAGTAAATGGAGGGAAGTGGGAATGGTTTGAAATTGGGAGATTTTAATTAGGAGGGGTCCGGGTCGGGTCAGGCAGAACTAGGGTTTGGACCCACGAGACCCCGTCTACGATCCGTAGATTTGGACCGTGGATCACTCTTAGACTTGGAAGATTTCAGAGACTTACTTGGGATCTACGAACGCCATTCACGGTTCGTAGTATGAACCAAAAACCGTCGATGGGGTCCGTAGACCACTGCACCAAACCTTTTTCTGCAGATTCTGTTTTTCGCCCCTGCACATGTAGCAACCACTAGCCCTATGTTATGTCTAGCCAACACTAAAACAAAAATAAAACAACTATCTAAATGAGTACAGAGAAGCAACTAAACAAAGAAAACTACTAAATGGAAAACAAAAGCCTATTGTTGGCTAGATTTTACATCTTGGGTTGCCTCCCAAGCAACGCTTGATTTAAGGTCGCGGCATGACGCAGGCCTCTTGATTACTCAAAGTTCATCAAGATAGTAGGCCTCAACAACTTCTTGCACACTTTCTGTGTTTCCCAGATAGATATTAATCCTTTGACCTTTAACCATGAGCCTTGTTCCTTTACTATTCTCAAGCTCAACCGCTCCATGGGGGATCACTTTTGTGAGCAAAAATGGCCCGGTCCATTTGGACTTGAGTTTGCCCGAAAACAAGTGCAACCTAGAGTTGAATAGAAGCACAAGATCACCCATCACAAATTCTCGCTTTTCAATTCTTTGATCATGATACCTCTTCATCTTCTCTTTGTAAGGCTGAACTTTCATATGCTTTTAGGCGAAACTCATCAATCATATTCAAGTCATTCATTCTTTGATTAGATGCGGCGCCCCAATCCAAATTTAGCTTCTTCATCGCCCACATAGCCTTATGCTCTAGCTTTACCGGTAAGTGGCAAGACTTCCCATATACAAGTTGGTAATGAGACATACCTATGGGAGTCTTGTAAGTAGTGTGATTGGCCCATAGAGCATCATCAAGCTTCCTTGACCAATCCGTTCTATTAGCATTCACAATCTTCTCCAAAATTTGTTTGATCTCTCTGTTGGACACTTCAACTTGCCCACTAGTCTGCGGATGGT